CGGGCGTGGTGGCTAGCCTGTAATCCTACCATTCTGGGAGGCCGACATGAGAGGATCGCTCCAGGTCAGGAGTTGGAAACCCATCTGAGCAAAAGCGAGACCCAGTCTCTACTAAAAATAGAAAGAAATTAGCAGGCAACTAAAACATTATAGAAAAATTATCCGGGCATGGGTGGCACATGTCTGTAGTCCCAACTACTCGGGAGGCTGAGGCAGGAGGATCCTTGAGCCAGGAGTTTGAGGTTGCTGTGAGCCAGGCTGACGCCACGGCATCACTCTAGCCAGGCAACAGAGTGAGATCTGTCTCAAAAAAAAAAAAAAAAAGTGGCAAATATATCTTGCTCCAATTTATCTGCTAATTTTCCCTCTTCCAATTTCTATTCCAATGAATTCTATTTAGCTTTTAAGTTTTCACAATGTTTGTTCTTATAAGTAATTTTAATATTAATTTCTTGTTTTTTATATCATGTTCTATTACAAAAGAATACTTGCTTTTTTGAAAAATGTTGGAATTAGACGAAGAAATAAGGTCAGCTTACAGAATAATAATTTTTTATTAATTTTTGGTGTATTTCTGATGTTTTTTCTGACCTTAATTGACTTTCTTCTACAAAATTGGGATTGCATGTATATATAGTCTGTATTCTTTCCTTTTTTTAGAATTATATTGTGAGCATTTCCCACATCTTAAATTTTTTTTATCTTTCCTTTCTTTAACAGGATTTTGCATGTGGACCACATCTTAAAATTTTTAAGAATACAAAATTTTTGTTGGTATATTATACCAATTAAATGGGCATATGTGAGTGAAGCATTTTCAGTGAGCATTTTGTGTCTTTTTTGCTGTCAATTTATTTTTTTAAGATTAACATATATGTGCTTAAGATTCATCTCAATTAATTGTCCATAAAACTTTATGTCAACTTCTTTACATAAAGAAGTTATGTAAAGGCCGGGCGCAGTGGCTCATACCTGTAATCCTAGCACTCTGGGAGGCCAAGCGGGAGGATCGCCTGAGCTCAGGAGTTCGGAGACCAGCCTGAGTAAGAGCGAGACCCTGTCTCTACTAAAAATAGAAAGAAATTAATTGGCCAACTAAAATATATAGAAAAAATTACCAGGCACAGTGATGCATGCCTGTAGTCCCAGCTATTTGAGAGGCTGAGGAGGAGGATCTCTTGAGCCAGGAGTTGGAGGTTGCTGTGAGCTAGGCTGACGCCACGGCCTCTAGCCTGGGCAACAGAGCAAGACTCTGCTCACAAAAAAAAACAAAACATAGAAGCTAGCAAGATAATTTAGGGAGAGGTTGATGGTCTCAATTAAGATAATTATTTTTCTAAGTTGTTAAGTGTACATAAAATATTTTATTAAGCATATTTTTGATAACACCTCTTTTTTTTCATCTGTTGTGAATATCTGAATCTTTGAAAAGAAGGTAGTAGTAGAAACAGAAAAAGAGGAAAAAGGAACTAGTGACAGGAGATAGCCCCAGGGCTGCAATAAATTGAGAGTTGTTATTAACATCCATAGCTTGAGTAAAGTTTGTAATAATGATGGCAATATTTGTAACAATTGAATTAAGAAAATTTAAATTGCTTTTATAAAAGAATACATCCATTGGCATCAAGAAAGACAATGTCTCTTCTTAATTCCTTGGTACTAAAAAAAGCCTGTTGTTGGTATTTCTTTGTATTTATTGTCAGTCCTCTCTCCTCTTATTTTCTATCTTCCTAAAGCATGGGAATAAAGAAGAATTCTCCTGCAGAGGAATACAACTTGCTGTGGATTGGTTTCTAGATAAAGGCCATAAAGATATTACTGTATTTGTGCCTGCATGGAGAAAGGAGCAATCCCGCCCTGACGCACCAATTACAGGTACTATCTAAAATAAGACATTTCTTCTCATCTAAAGGCAAAACTAACAAGATAGTTTGGGGAGGGGATGATGGTCTCAATTTAGATAATTATTTTTCTAAGTTGTTAAGTATATATAAACTTTTCTTTTCTTTTTTTTTTTTTTTTTTCCTTTTTTTTTTTTTTTTTTTTGAGACAGAGACTTACTCTGTTTTCCGGGCTAGAGTGCCGTGGCATCAGCCTAGTTCACAGCAACCTCAAACTCTTGGGCTCAAGCGATCCTCTGCCTCAGCTCCCAGGTAGCTGGGACTACAGGCATGCAACACCATGCCCTGCCTATTAGGCATATTTTTGATAAAGTTGATCCAAATATAACCATCATTGTTTGTTGCCCATGGCAGTTAAATGGAGAAAACTTCAATTCAGTAAAGGATAAAGCACAAAGCTTTATAAAGCACAAAGGATAAAGCACAAAGGAGTTCTTTTTATTGACTGTAGACTTCAGACTAAAGGGAGATGAATCGGTTCATGAATATGGACTGAATTTTTCAAGAGACTAAAGACATCATGGTAGACAATGGATCTCATTCTGCACCAGTGAAGTAATTGTGGGGCTTGCAAATCTGGGGTAAAATAAAGAGAGAGAAAGTCCCATGTCAGTCAGAGCCAACTTATCCATGAGGCATAGTAGGTTCAGCTCTGATGGCTGATGATACTGTGTTAAAGTCCATGGAAAGTCTTATTTCACATCAGAAGAAAAATAAATATATATAAAAGTGAATAGAAGTGATATACCTAGCTTGATTATTTTGGCTTTATACCACTGTAGTTGTAGAATAAAATGTTTACTATTTCTTTATGGAGTAAGGGGCCGTGAAGGCAAAAGTGCTTAAGGTCCAAAAGTCATGATGCGATCCAAGTGGAAGTAGGGTCATTACATTCACTTATAACAGTATCTGAAGTATGTGCTATTTACACCATTTGAGAGCATATAGGCTCCAATCCTCTGAGTATCAGCTCTTGCCTGATGTGCCTAATGAATGGCAGGCTGAGCTGTATGTGCAGCTATTTGCCATCTGCTGAATAGGCTCATGCCCCAGCCAGCAAGCTTTCTCTCCCCAGGAATTAGGAGCGCAAAAGGAAAGGGGTCAATACTTAGATGTTATAGTTTAATTGTTTCACCTTAGTTCTGGCTTTTCTTCAGCAGAAGCCCAAATGTAAGTCCTAGGAGTGATGGTATATTCTCTTCCTGACAGACACATCCTCAGCATACTGCCTGGTTTTTTTGTTTTGTTTTGTTTGTTTGTTTGTGTGTGTGTGTGTTTGAGACAGAGTCTCACTTCTGCATCCTGCTAGAGTGCTGTGGCATCAGCCTAGTTCACAACAACCTCAGACTCTGGCTCAAGCGATCCTCTCGCCTCAGCCTCCGAGTAGCTGGGACTACAGGCATGCACCACCATGCCGGCTAATTTCTTTCTATATATTTTTAGTTGGCCAATTCATTTTCTTCTATTTTAGTAGAGACGGGGTCTTG